ACGCACAAACGTGCGTCAAGGGTAGAGGAAGGTGATGAAGGGCAGGGAAGGTGGTGAAGGGTAGGGAAGTTTTTTTTTCAGGGATATTCCTGCGCGGGCCCTAAGCCTCTGGCTGGCCCACTGGGCGGGCCCTAAGCCTCTGGCTGGCCCACTGCGCGGGCCCTAAGCCTCTGGTTGGCCCACTGGACGGGCCCTAAGCCTCTGGCTGGCCCACTGGGCGGGCCCTAAGCCTCTGGCTGGCCCACTGGGCGGGCCCTAAGCCTCTGGCTGGCCCACTGGGCGGGCCCTAAGCCTCTGGCTGGCCCACTGGGCGGGCCCTAAGCCTCTGGCTGGCCCACTGGGCGGGCCCTAAGCCTCTGGCTGGCCCACTGGGCGGGCCCTAAGCCTCTGGCTGGCCCACTGGGCGGGCCCTAAGCCTCTGGCTGGCCCACTGGGCGGGCCCTAAGCCTCTGGCTGGCCCACTAAGTGTTGCTTGTTTCTGTTTTACTTGGGCGGAGTATGAGTATTTATGACTCGTATGGTCGCTTCAGGAAGATTTTGTCCCATGTGTTTAACAACTTCTTCTGTGCTGTTGAATCTAAGTTGAAATATTAATGGGTTTGTAACTGTGCACTGTGTTAGGTAAGTAAGTAGTAAGTAATTATCAAAAGAAGGCACCAAACCGGGAAGGCTAAGTAGCACCATCAAATGTGTGGGATAATCAGAGGGCGCTAAATATCAGCAAGGATGCCAATACGAGAACAAAAACGTATAAGGCGAACGATATCAAATGTATCCGAGTCACCAAGAATTCTGTTGAGGAACAGGTGACCACGAGGGACGGTCGGAAAGAAAGACACACGCTCCTCCTGGAAGTCATGACATTAAACAAGGATATGCACGACTGTAAGAGGGAGGGACAATGAAATTAGGACAATAAGGAGCAGGGCGGCACTCCATCAAGTGACCATGGGTTAAGCGAGTATGGCCAATACACAACCTCGCCAGAGCCGTTTCCCATCGCCGGTTACGGTGGTAGGAGGATGGCCACGAGGAAACACAACATTTAAGAGTATGTAGTTTGTTACCAGTAACAGACGACCAAGAAGCCAGCCAACGGGTAAGGATGGAGGAATAAATAACTGGGTAAAAGTCAGAATATGGAATACCTTTACGAGAGATGGGACAAGAGCGGACAGCTTCCCTGGCAGCAGCATCCGCACGCCCATTTAAAGACACACCAATATGGCTGGGAACCCAACAAAACTCAACCGACTTAAATTTACTGTGAACAAGAATCAGCCAATAATGGATCTCGACAACTACTGGATGAACCGGATTAAAGGACCCAAGAGCCATGAGGGCACTACGAAAGTCAACAACAACTACAAAGGAAGACTGACAACAAGAAAGCAGGAGACGAAGAGCATAGAGAATAGCATAAAGCTCCGCTGTGAAGATGCTAGTCTCCGGAGGTAAGCGACACATATAAGTGCGATCAGGAAAAATAACAGAGTAACCAACACCTTCCACAGACTTAGACCCATCGGTGAAGTCAGAAACGGAGCGGAAGTGAGAAGAAAAGTGCTCAAGGAAAAGGCGTTTTAGAACCGTAGGAGGGGTAAAAGCTGTAGGGTCAAGGAAGTACAAAACTGCGGAAGGGGGATTCTCCACGGGGGGCAAAGAAGGAACAACACGAGGAGAAACATTAGAAATACAAACGGAAAGAGAATCCTGTAAGCGAGATAACCGGACAGAAAGAGGGAGGTGGTGAAGAGGAACAGGAACCGCAGGAGGGGTAAAAGTTAAAGCACGACAGAGGCGAGAAGAAGGATGTTGTAAGGACCGCGCAAGATAGTGAAGACAGTAGCGATCACGGCGGTCCTGGAGAGACAGGAAGCCAGTGTCAACATACAAGCTAAGGGCGGGAGTCAAACAAAAGGCACCAAAACTTAGGCGCAACCCAGTATGGTGCAAAGCATCAAGATGGCGAAGAGTAGAAGGAGAAGCAGACGAGTAACAGGGCAACCATAATCGAGCTTAGACAGGACGAGTGAGGAATATAAAGCAAGGAGAGTGCGCCTATCCGCTTCCCAAGAAGTATGGGACAATACCCGAAGGAGGGTAAGAGCCTTAGAGCACTCAACACAGAGGTAAGAGATATGGGGAGACCAAGACAAACGAGTGTCAAGGAATAACCCCAAAAGCTTTGCGGAATCTTTGTACTCAAAGGGATGACCATAAAGTGACAAAGAGGGACGAAGAACAACCCATTTCCACGTAAAAGTCATGGCACAAGTCTTAGCAGTAGAGAACTTGAAGCCATGATCGGTGGCCCAAGACGACACGGAATCAATCGCAAGTTGAAGCCGGCGTTCAAGGAGAGGCGAATCATCACCCTGACAGCAAAGGGTAAGATCATCGACATAGAGAGCGGAGAAGACGCCTGAAGGAAGAGAGGAAAGAAGACCATTGAGGGCAACTAGAAAAAGAGTATTGCTCAGAACACTACCCTGGGGCACACCTTTGTATTGCTGAAAAGAGGCAGAGAGAGCGGTACCAAGCCTCACCCGAAAGGAACGACGAGAGAGGAAGCTGCAGAGAAAGAGAGGGAGATGACCACGAAGGTCAAAAGAATGAAGCTGGGATAGAATATGATATCGCCAAGTGGTGTCATAAGCCTTTTCCAGGTCAAAAAGGACGGCAACAACGGAGGTCCTCGCAGCAAAAGCAGTACGAATATAGACCTCCAAGTTCACCAGGACATCTGTCGTGCTGCGGCACTTGCGGAAACCAAATTGAGAAGGGGAGACGAGGTGATGGTGTTCCAGAAACCACATCAGACGAACGTTAACCATACGTTCAAAGAGGTTTGCAGACACAACTTGTAAGGGCAATAGGGCGAAAGTCCTTAGGGGATGTTCCCAGAGACCCTGGTTTGCAAACAGGGAGGACAACGGCATCGAGCCAGTCCTCAGGGACTGACGACGACTCCCAGATCCGTTTATACAGACTCAGTAAATACTGAGACGTGCATGGAGGGAGATGGCACAGCATCTCATAATGAATAACATCGGAGCCCGCCGCCGTAGAACCGCAGAGGGCCAGGGCAGAACGAAGTTCAGAGAGAGAGAAGGGATCGTTATAGGGAAGTCGAAGACGAGTGCAGAAATCTAAAGGACGAAACTCAAGGACATAAGATGCCCAACATTCACGTTTAGCCGTACGGATGGCCCTACGGGCCACTGCACTCGCCTTCCGAAAGAATAGAAAAGAATCGCCCATCTGCCGACGGCGGTGTCTCTTCCAGGATGCACGCTTACAGCGGACAGCCCGAGCACAGTCTGCATTCCACCAGGGAATGCACTTCCGTGGACCCCGAGAGGAAGAGCGAGGAATAGAGTGGAGGGCAGCGTCAAAGACAGTGTCATGAAAAAGGAGGAGGGAGCGAGGGAGAGGTTAGAGAGAGCAGCGCTGAGGGTAAAGAGGTCCCAGTCCGCTTTCGCAAACTGCCACCTAGGGAAGGAGAGGGGAGGGCGAAAAGAGAAAAAGGTAACAAGGATGGGGAAATGGTCACTGCCATGGAGGTCATCAAGAACCTGCCACGTGAAATCTAAGTATAGAGAAGAAGAGCAAAGAGAAAGATCAAGACAGGAATGGATGTGAGTCCGAGAGTCTAAATGCGTGGGCTCACCAGAATTCAGAAGAGACAGGGAAGAAGAGAGGATAAATGGCTCAAGAAGGTGACCCCGGGTGTTCGTCAGAACATCATCCTAAAGGGAATGACGATAATTGAAATCTCCCAGCAGGAGCACAGGCTCCAGCAAGGAGTCCAGTAAGTGTTTCAGATCAGGAAGAGAAAGCGGGATACTCGGGGGGAGATAAATGGAACAAACAGTGTACCATTTCCCCACAAAGATACGAGCAGCAGAACAATGGAGAGGCGAAGGAAAAAGTAAGGGGACAAAGGGAACATCAGAGCGAATCAAGAGAGCAGAAGAGTTAGGAGCCCGTTGCTGGGGGAAGGGGGGGGGAGAGAAAGGAATAGCCACGAAAGCGACCAGGACAAGCACCAAGCATCGGCTCCTGGAGACAGACACAAAGGGGCGAAAAACCACGAAATCAGAAGTTGGAGTTCGAGGAAATTGGCGTAATAACCTCGAACGTTCCATTGAAGAATAGACATCGACGAGAAGAGAAAGGACAACAACAGAGAACAAGGAAGAAACAAAGGCAAAAGAGCAACACAGCACGTTAAAGAAGATCAGGGTTGGGATCAGGGTCAGCAAAGTCAGGGTTAGGGGGCATGGGTAAACTGAGCAAAGATGGAGGGAAGGAAGCGGGAGAACAGACCAAAGGTGGGTGGGCGGGGTCTGGAGGAGGAGGAGGAGGAAGAGGAGGAGACAACGGAGAGGAGCAGTCAAGGACAGCAGCAGGAAGAGGGCGAGTAGAAAGAGGGGAGTGCACCTCAGCAAGGGCAGCAACCGAGAGGGAAGCGGAGGCCAAAGAAACCTCCATAGCAGGAACAGGTAGTGCAGCCACCGAAACGGGAGGGGGAAGGAACAATAGTGTCAGTAGTAGGGGCTGAGGAATAGAATGAAGCCTTCTTACCCGCCAGGGAGGAGGAAGGAGAGGAGCCAGGCTCACGCTTCTAATTACTTTCTTAATCATTTACATATGTAAATGTCTACATTTCTTCGCTTAGTTGCAAGTTTTGCAGCTTCGTCTGCAATGTCATTTCCTATTATTCCCACATGACTTGGCACCCAGTTGATAAATAACTGACGGCCTTGCCGTTTGAGTGTCTGCATTAATGATATGACATTTGTGATCAAATGTATGTTATCATGTATGTGTACTTGTTGCAAGGTTTCAATGGCAGTTCTCGAATCTGTATGTATGATAACTTGTTGTTGGTGTTCAGCAAGAGAATGTTCCAAAGCCTTTTGAATGGCTAACATCTCAGTTTGTAAAGTTGAACACCAGTTTGAGAGTCTCCAACTATTTACAGAGTTTCCTGCTTTAACTGCAGCTCCGGTTTCTTGTCCCTACTGGTCTACTGATCCATCTGTGAAGTAAGTGAAGCTGTCGGATGCCACGTTTGCTTCCATATGCATTTGTGCAATATTACGTAGCAGATGAGGAGTTGTCTGGTTCGTTTTTCCGTCAAGAACCATAATCTTCTGGTGACGGAGATTCCCAAGGGGACTGCATAACAAAGTGTGGATGCATTTCCTCGACACCCTTCTCAGTGACTGTGTTTGTTATATTTGGAATGTATTGATGGTGTTTATCGCACAATGGGTCCACCAGTTGCTATTGGAGGCTCTTCTGTCCAGAGTTAGTGTTCCAGTGATTATATCTTTAAGTGAACTGATTCTTGGTCTAGTCAATATCTTGGGAAGGTGGTGAAAGGTAAGGAAGGTGGTGAAGAGTAGGGAAGGTGATGATCACTGTAAATAGGGTTGTCAGCGGTGCGAGGACAGTGAAAATGGTTACAGTGATGAGAATAATAGTGAGTATTGTCTATATATCAGCCCATCTTCCCGTTTATACAGTACTCTCTGTATAAACGTGGCCACCGTGCATATACTGACGTAGCGGACAATTAGATGGTAAAATTTGGTACTATTCACTTCACAGAGTCCGGAAAAATTAACCTAACAGTCGAACCTAAATAATCCTAGGTCTAGTATAACACAAATAGGTAATACATTAGGCCTCAGATAGCGTGCATTAGTCCTAGGAAGGTTAGGTTAGGGTTTCTGTGCCACATCAGCACTAAAGCGTCTCTAATTTGTCACCAGTCAATACAACCGAATTACATAATCACTCACCAGATGTAGTTACCATTGCACTGATGAGATATTAATAATCCCAACTTTAGTATCTCCTCAGGTCAGGGGTTACAAGATGTGGTGAGTGATCAAGGAGCCAAGGAGCCTGTTACCCCCTATGCTTACACCTCTCCCCAGGACATTTGACCTAGTGTCATAAAAGCCCCCTACAGGTCATTAGCGCTCACTGCTGAAGAGGATACCGAGTTGGGATTGAAATAAGCAGTCTACATTTCCTCGTGTTTTGAAAATTGTGGGTTATTATTCTCATTGATTAGCGCGATATTGCATTTCAATCTTATATATATATATATATATATATATATATATATATATATATATATATATATATATATATATATATATATATATATATATATATATATATATATATAATTACTGGTGTAATTTGCTGGATATCCAGGCCATGTTGCCTGGTTCTTGAAATCATCGTTCATGTGGTGTTGTCAGACGAGAGTTTGGTCCACCTGCCATGGCCCATGTGGCCCATCCTCTGACCCCGAAACAACACGTACTGTCAGAAACGGGTTTGGTCTGACACCTCCGCTTCCTCCCCTACTCCATTACCCTCAACTGCCTTCTCCTTAGCCACCACCACCTTCTGCCCGCTATCATCACCCTCCTCCGCTTCCTGGACGCTATCCTTCAAGATATCCTCATCGTCACCTTCCTGGATGTGGCCGAGCTTGCTATCCTCCATGACAATGGGGACCTGGGAGCTCCTCCGTCGGCGGCTGACCCCGGTCATCTCCGAGATGATGCAGACGCAGGCCTGGCCGTGAATGATGAGCTCGTGGGAGTGCTGGTGGTGCTTGTCAGAGATGGGCTGCAGGAACTCCTCCGTGTGGTACTGCCAGTACTCCAGCCCGCCGAAGAACGTCAGCAGCCCCAGGTGGACCAGGTTCAGCACCGCTGTGGAGGGGCAACGACGGCTAGTGGTTATTGACTTATCAGTGTTAATTACACTGTGTGTACCTTAGGATCACTATCTTCACTAAGCAGTGTACCATATGCAACATTTATCACAACATGCAGAGTGCAATAGCATCAATGTCTTCATTAAAGTGTACACCATCAACACCCTCGCTAATCAGTGTAGCAGTCATTAACACCCTCGCTAATCAGTGTAGCAGTCACTAACATGTATAATTAACAGTCATCAACATCTGCACTAAACAGTGCAATAGAGCAGCAAATATCTACGGTTTAGAAGTATAATTATAACTCTAAACCGGTAACAGGTAAGATTTCAGAGACTCTAAACCAAGTTTACCGTTAACGTGGACCATTGATGTAGGGAGACGAGACTTACTGTTGGCATAGACCATGGAGTTGATGTAGGGCGGGTAGCAGGGGAAGAAGTTGTAGTTGCCCAGGATGGTGACCGCCACCTCAAGCACCTTCAGCAGCACCAGCACCACCAGCATTGTTCCGTACTTCCTCTGACGGGGAGAGGGAAGAGGGAAGTAGCAGGTGAAAGCTCAGAGCCACTACGACACTGAGGCACTTGAACGGATGTGAGGACAAGAAGCTGGGATATGAGGACAAGGAGCTGGGATGTGAGGACAAGGAGCTGGGATGTGAGGACAAGGAGCTGGGATATATGGGATGATCATATTTAATAATGGAAAACGACCTTGAACAATAATGAATAATGATCGTCTATAATGCAGTAGAATAACTATCTATAATAATGTATGTATATATATATATATATATATATATATATATATATATATATATATATATATATATATATATATATATATATATATATATATATATGTACGTGTGTGTGTGTGTGTGTGTGTGTGTGTGTGTGTGTGTGTGTGTGTGTGTGTGTGTGTGTGTGTGTGTGTGTGTGTGTGTGTGTGTGTGTGTGTGTGTGTGTGTGTGTGTGTGTGTGTGTGTGTGTGTGTGTGTGTGTGTGTGTGTGTGTACTCACCTAGTTGTACTCACCTAGTTGTGTTTGCGGGGGTTGAGCTTTGGCTCTTTGGTCCCGCCTCTCAACCGTCAATCAACAGGTGTACAGATTCCTGAGCCTATTGGGCTCTATCATATCTACACTTGAAACTGTGTACGGAGTCAGCCTCCACCACATTGCTTCTTAATGCATTCCATTTGTCAACCACTCTGACACTAAAAAAGTTCTTTCTAATATCTCTGTGGCTCATTTGGGCACTCAGTTTCCACCTGTGTCCCCTTGTGCGTGTTCCCCTTGTGTTAAATAGACTGTCTTTATCTACCCTATCAATTCCCTTCAGAATCTTGAATGTGGTGATCATGTCCCCCCTAACTCTTCTGTCTTCCAGCGAAGTGAGGTTTAATTCCCGTAGTCTCTCCTCGTAGCTCATACCTCTCAGCTCGGGTACTAGTCTGGTGGCAAACCTTTGAACCTTTTCCAGTTTAGTCTTATCCTTAACTAGATATCGACTCCATGCTGGGGCTGCACACTCCAGGATTGGCCTGACATATGTGGTATACAAAGTTCTGAATGATTCTTTACACAAGTTTCTGAATGCCGTTCGTATGTTGGCCAGCCTGGCATATGCTGCTGATGTTATCCGCTTGATATGTGCTGCAGGAGACAGGTCTGGCGTGATATCAACCCCCAAGTCTTTTTCCTTCTCTGACTCCTGAAGAATTTCCTCTCCCAGATGATACCTTGTATCTGGCCTCCTGCTCCCTACACCTATCTTCATTACATTACATTTGGTTGGGTTAAACTCTAACAACCATTTGTTCGACCATTCCTTCAGCTTGTCTAGGTCTTCTTGAAGCCTCAAACAGTCCTCTTCTGTTTTAATCCTTCTCATAATTTTAGCATCGTCCGCAAACATTGAGAGAAATGAATCGATACCCTCCGGGAGATCATTTACATATATCAGAAACAAGATAGGACCGAGTACAGAGCCCTGTGGGACTCCACTGGTGACTTCACGCCAATCGGAGGTCTCACCCCTCACCGTAACTCTCTGCTTCCTATTGCTTAGATACTCCCTTATCCACTGGAGCACCTTACCAGCTACACCTGCCTGTCTCTCCAGCTTATGTACCAGCCTCTTATGCGGTACTGTGTCAAAGGCTTTCCGACAATCCAAGAAAATGCAGTCCGCCCAACCCTCTCTTTCTTGCTTAATCTTTGTCACCTGATCGTAGAATTCTATCAAGTCTGCAAGGCAAGATTTACCCTCCCTGAACCCATGTTGGCGATTTGTCACGAAGTCCCTTCTCTCCAGATGTGTTACCAGGTTTTTTCTCACGATCTTCTCCATCACCTTGCATGGTATACAAGTCAAGGACACTGGCCTGTAGTTCAGTGCCTCTTGCCTGTCTCCCTTTTTGTATATTGGGACCACATTCGCCGTCTTCCATATTTCTGGTAGGTCTCCCGTCTCCAGTGACTTACTATACACTATGGAGAGTGGCAAGCAAAGTGCCTCTGCACACTCTTTCAGTATCCATGGTGAGATCCTATCTGGACCAACAGCCTTTCTAACATCCAGATCCAGCAGGTGTCTCTTGACCTCCTCTCTCGAAATTTCGAACTCTTCCAAGGCCGCCTGGTTTACCTCCCTTTCTCCTAGTACAGTGACCTCACCTTGTTCTATTGTGAAGACCTCCTGGAACCTCTTGTTGAGTTCTTCACACACCTCTCTGTCATTCTCTGTATACCTGTCCTCTCCTGTTCGAAATTTCAATACCTGTTCTTTCACTGTTGTTTTCCTTCTGATGTGACTGTGGAGTAGCTTTGGTTCGGTCTTGGCTTTGTTGGCTATATCATTTTCAAAACTTTTCTCTGCTTCTCTTCTCACCCTGACGTACTCATTTCTAGTTCTCTGGTATCTCTCTCTGCTTTCTGGTGTTCTGTTATTCCGGAAGTTCCTCCACGCCCTTTTGTTCAGTTTCTTCGCTCCTTGCATGCCCTATTATACCATGGATTCTTCTGTTGCTTCTCGGATTTTTCCGTTTGGGCCGGGATGAACCTGTTTACTGCCTCCTGACACTTTTGGGTAACAAAGTCCATCATACCCTGTACAGACTTATCTCTGAGGTCTGTGTCCCAAGGTATTTCACTCAGGAAACTTCTCATCTGTTCATAATTCCCCTTTCGGTATGCCAGCCTTTTGATTCCTAGTTCTTTTTTGGGGGAGATAAGTCCTAGCTCTACCAGGTACTCAAAGTTCAATACACTGTGGTCACTCATTCCCAAGGGCGCTTCCATCTTAACTCCCCTTATATCCCACTCATTTAGGGTAAATATCATATCAAGCATTGCTGGTTCATCTTCTCCTCTCATTCTTGTTGGTTCTTTGATGTGCTGGCTTAGAAAGTTTCTTGTTGTCACGTCCAGCAGCTTAGCTCTCCATGTTTCTGGTCTTCCATGTGGGTCTCTGTTCTTCCAATCTATCTTCCCATGGTTGAAGTCTCCCATAATTAGTAGTCCAGATCCATTCCTGCTAGCAACAGAAGCTGCTCTTTCTATTATGTTAATGGTGGCCATGTTGTTTCTATCATATTCCTGTCTAGGTCTTCTGTCATTTGGTGGTGGTGGTGTGTGTGTGTGTGTGTGTGTGTGTGTGTGTGTGTGTGTGTGTGTGTGTGTGTGTGTGTGTGTGTGTGTGTGTGTGTGTGTGTGTGTGTGTGTGTGTGTGTGTGTTAATCACGGAAGTTAACACGTGATGAAAAATGTGACAATGTCAGACCACGGAGGAAGAATTGAAAAAGGAATTTCCTTAAGTACTTTCGTTTTTAAAACGAAACGGGCCGAAACGTGGGGAGCAAAGTTAGTAGATGTTATAGACAGGAATTTCCTAACACAGCATGTGAAGGAAAACAGGAGGGAAAAAGGATGAGCGCTATGATGCTGATGATGAGCATCATAGTGCTCATCATATGAGTACTATGATGTGAATGACCCTATATAATGATAAAGAATGACCCTATATAATGATAAAGAATGACCCTATAATAAGAATGACTTTATATAATAATGTACAATGATCCTTCATAATGACATAGAATTTATCTATATTATCAATAGAAGATGCGTATATATAATGTATAATGATGCATGTTGACTATACTTTCAAAACGCTTAAATGTCTTGCCTTTTTCTTACTGTATAATGATGCAGAATGGATCTAAATAATGATGTAGAATTGCTCTAAATAATGAAGTTAAATGACTCTATATATATTGATGTAAAATGATTCTATATATATTGATGTAAAATGATTCTATTTAATGATGCAAAATGACTATATAATGAAGCAAAATGACTATATAATGACTATATAATGATGTAGAACGTCTCCATATGGTGATGTAGAATGAACTTATAATGATGTATAATAGCTCTACATAATGTAGAATTACCCTATATAATGATGTTGAATGAATATATAATGATGTATAATGACCCTGTATAATGAAGTAGAATAGCCATGCATATAAATATGTATAATGATCCTATATAATGAGGTGGAATAGCTATATAATGATGTAGTTATAGCCAGACCTAGCTAACAATATAATGAAAGAGCCAGAGTTAGCTAACTCTATTATGACAGAGCCAGAGCCAGAGCCAGAGCTCAACACAAGTCAAAGAAATCTGCCCCAGATGTTAAAGAATAGCATTAACAGGATGGTGAGGATACTATAGGACGATACGAGTTGCTAGTAGAAGGCTTAGCACTACTAGTCCATGATGATGAGTTGCTAGTAGAAGGCTTAGCACTACTAGTCCATGATGATGAGTTGCTAGTAGAAGGCTTAGCACTACTAGTCCATGATGATGAGTTGCTAGTAGAAGGCTTAGCACTACTAGTCCATGATGATGAGTTGCTAGTAGAAGGCTTAGCACTACTAGTCCATGATGATGAGTTGCTAGTAGAAGGCTTAGCACTACTAGTCCATGATGATGAGTTGCTAGTAGAAGGCTTAGCACTACTAGTCCATGATGATGAGTTGCTAGTAGAAGGTACCATTACTAGCTGACGATGGGAGCTCCTTACCTTGTAGTTGAAGGCTCCGAGATGGTCCTTGACGAGGTGGCCCATGACTGTGAAGGCGTAGATGGCACTTAGAGATGAGATGATGTTTATAGCATCAAGGCACAGGTACCCGTAGTTCAGCGTGATCTGTTGACGGGTGAGGGGGTGAGGTGAGTGATCTGTTGACGGGTGAGGGGGTGAGGTGAGTGATCTGTTGACGGGTGAGGGGGTGAGGTGAGTGATCTGTTGACGGGTGAGGGGGTGAGGTGAGTGATCTGTTGACGGGTGAGGGGGTGAGGTGAGTGATCTGTTGACGGGTGAGGGGGTGAGGTGAGTGATCTGTTGACGGGTGAGGGGGTGAGGTGAGTGATCTGTTGACGGGTGAGGGGGTGAGGTGAGTGATCTGTTGACGGGTGAGGGGGTGAGGTGAGTGATCTGTTGACGGGTGAGGGGGTGAGGTGAGTGATCTGTTGACGGGTGAGGGGGTGAGGTGAGTGATCTGTTGACGGGTGAGGGGTTATGAATGATCTGTTGATGAATGAGGGGTGATCTGTTGACATTTTATGGATGATTAATTGCAGACAATGAGTCACAATCACGAGGCGGAAATATGTTGACCAGACCACACACTAGAAAGTGAAGGGACGACGACGTTTCGGTCCGTCCTGGACCATTCTCAAGTCGATTGTGATTCCATTCCATCATCCATTCTCACAATCCCCAACAAGTCCATTCTCACAATCGACTTGAGAATGGTCCAGGACGGACCGAAATGTCGTCCTCCCTTCACTTTCTAGCGTGTGTGGTCTGGTCAAGATGATTAATTGATGAATTAGGATGATCCACTGATGAGTCAGCAGCTCCTAGTAGTTTAACTTAATTATCTTTGGTGTTATTGAAAAATATTTGTATGTATATATATATATATATATATATATATATATATATATATATATATATATATATATATATATATATATATATATATATATATATATATATATATATTCCCATATTTCCGAAGGTCATCAATATATCAAACCTTAATTATTGACATGACTTTCTATCTCGAATGTTTTAGGATAGTGCCTGATTAGATATGTCTATCTATCCTTACCTAACCTATCCTAACCTAACCTAACCTAACCTATCCTAACTTAATCTAAACTAACCTAACCTAACTTATCCTACCCTAATCTTACTAAGCCTAATCTAACCTAACCTAACCTATCCTACCCTAATCTAACCAAGCCTAATCTAACCTAACATAACCTAACGTATCCTAATCTAATCTAACCTAATCTAACCAAGCCTAACCTAACCTAACATAACTGACATGTACAGATGCCTTTGATAATTTTATAATCTTATAATTAATTAACGTAACTATTTTGTAAGGGTGTGTTTGATAATCTGGTTAACTAGCCTAATTTAACCGTTGGGTACATATGTCATTAATAGTCTAGTAACTACCCTAACTTCACCTAACTTAACCATTGTGTAGTTATGTTATTAATTGTGTAGTTAACCATCTTATCTTTACTAATCTTAACCTAACCTAACTGAACCTAAGTAAATCTATGATAAGCAAAAGTTCTTCTGGCGCAGAGGTAACATTCTCTTCGCGCGCGGCTTAGCCTGGGTTCGTATCCTGGCCGAGGAGGATTGACTGGGTACCAATCGTCAACTGTACGCCTCTGTTCACCCAGCAGTGAATGGGTAGTTGATTGTTAACGGGGAAAATTAAGATTAAGGACCTGTCCGAAACGCTATGCCTGCTAGTGGCTGTACAAGAATGTAAGAACTCTTGTATGTTAAAACACAAAAAAAGACTTACCAGACAAGTGAGTGTGTTCTTGAGTGATTTACCAGACCCTGTGAGCGTGTTCTTGAGTGACTTACCAGACCCTGTGAGTGTGTTCTTGAGTGACTTACCAGACCCTGTGAGCGTGTTCTTGAGTGACTTACCAGACCCTGTGAGCGTGTTCTTGACTGACTTACCAGACCCTGTGAGTGTGTTCTTGAAGGACTTACCAGACCCTGTGAGTGTGTTCTTGAAGGACTTACCAGACCCTGTGAGTGTGTTCTTGAGTGACTTACCAGACCCTGTGAGTGTGTTCTTGAGTGACTTACCAGACCCTGTGAGTGTGTTCTTGAGTGACTTACCAGACCCTGTGAGTGTGTTCTTGAGTGACTTACCAGACCCTGTGAGTGTGTTCTTGAGTGACTTACCAGACCCTGTGAGTGTGTTCTTGAGTGACTTACCAGACCCTGTGAGTGTGTTCTTGAGTGACTTACCAGACCCTGTGAGCGTGTTCTTGAGTGACTTACCAGACCCTGTGAGTGTGTTCTTGAGAGACTTACCAGACCCTGTGAGTGTGTTCTTGAGTGACTTACCAGACCCTGTGAGTGTGTTCTTGAGTGACTTACCAGACCCTGTGAGTGTGTTCTTGAGTGACTTACCAGACCCTGTGAGTGTGTTCTTGACTGACTTACCAGACCCTGTGAGTGTGTTCTTGACTGACTTACCAGACCCTGTGAGTGTGTTCTTGAGTGACTTACCAGACCCTGTGAGAGTGTTCTTGAGTGACTTACCAGACCCTGTGAGTTGCTCTTAGCAGCGGTCCAGAAGATCTCCAGAAAGAAGTAGACGGTCTGACTGTAAGGGAACTGCCACAACAACCACTTCAAGACCCTCAGACGAGTCCTGGTGGAGAGTGAGACAATCTAAGCTCAAGGAGGAGGATTGACTTGACCAAATCAACCACCAATCTAAGACCCTCAGATTACCCCCTAAGAAAGGATAGAGGTAAAGGGATATTATCTACTTTCATTAGGATAACTGACTCTAACAATATCTAACAAAACTTGTACAAATACATTTAGATGTAAGATTTTAGATCTAATGTTATACATTTTGAACTTGAAGATAAGTATTTGAAGATCGCAAGTTTGTCTGAATCTGCAACAATTTTCAAAAGAAACTTATTAATCGAACTTTTCAAAAATAATTCAGAGTTGAATATTAATTAAAGTAAATGTAACATAATGTAATTTAGAACACGTAAAAAAATTATTGATATATAATGTGAATCTTAAGAAATATATGCAAGTCAGCATTAAATTTTTTTTTAAGGGACTAAAAACTTTTTTATATGACTGACCTAAGCCTAAAAGTATTATTTTAAGACTAAAAAAACTGACCTAAAAGTATTATTCCCATATTATTAAATGTGAATCTTAAGAAATATATGCAAGTCTGCATTAAAAAAAAAATTTAAGGGACTAAAAACTTTTTGATATGACTGACCTAAGCCTAAATGTATTATTTTAAGACTTAAAAAAAACTGTCCTAAAAGTATTATTCTCATATTAATATATGTATCAGGAGAGGCTAAATATAGTCTACGGCTCAAATTGGCCATTAGAGGTCAATCACGAAAGAGTTTAGAGTTCTTAATGGTTAAGAACTATGAGTTCTTGGTTAATGATGCGTGTTTGTTTTTGCTATGGCCTCGTTAGTGGAGTATCTCACGAAGATCTTAACGAGTCATTAGAAATGTCTTAACGATGTCTCTGTAGCTTATCTTGATGTTTCTTGTGCAACACATTGTTTAGTGTGGGCTTATTCTGGTGATGGGGGGAGATGTCAGTGATGGTGATGGGGGGAGATGTCAGTGATGGTGTAGGAACAGATGTCAGTGATGGTGTAGGAGCAGATGTCAGTGATGGTGTAGGAGCAGATGTCAGTGATGGTGTAGGAGCAGATGTCAGTGATGGTGTAGGAACAGATGTCAGTGATGGTGTAGGAGCAGATGTCAGTGATGGTGTAGGAACAGATGTCAGTGATGGTGTAGGAGCAGATGTCAGTGATGGTGTAGGAACAGATGTCAGTGATGGTGTAGGAACAGATGTCAGTGATGGTGTAGGAACAGATGTCAGTGATGGTGTAGGAACAGATGTCAGTGATGGTGTAGGAACAGATGTCAGTGATGGTGTAGGAGCAGATGTCAGTGATGGTGTAGGAACAGATGTCAGAGGAAGGGAAGACTCACTTGGTGATGGTTGGGGACGGAATACAAGGACAACACCTCAGCAGACCAACGTGGAAGTCAAAGCTGGAGTCTTTCAGCTTGCCCAACATGCCCTTCTCACAGCCAAACATGAGGACGGTCAGGTCGACGAAGTGGCGGACCCCGAGTGAGAAGAACCTGTGGAGGCCCCACACACACACCTGATGTTATTAACCTCTAAATCAGTATACATCTTTATCGCACTTTGGTGGAATAGGAGACAGACTAAGAACTGTGTTTGGTGACCCAGGAGCCAGCCTGGGTCACAAAAAACAGTGCCCAAGTACTTCCGACACTACCCAGGTAGCCCAAACACTACCCAGGTAGCCCAAACACTACACCAGGTAGCCCAAACACTACTATGGTAGCCCAAACACTACCCAGGTAGCCCAAACACTACCCAGGTAGCCCAAACACTACTCAGGTAGCCCAAACACCACCCAGGTAGCCCAAACACTACACCAGGTAGCCCAAACACTACTATGGTAGCCCAAACACTACCCAGGTAGCCCAAACACTACCTAGGTAGCCCAAACACTACTCAGGTACCCCAAACACCACCCAGGTAGCCCAAACACTACACCAGGTAGCCCAAACACTACTATGGTAGCCCAAACACTGCCCAGGTAGCCCAAAAACTACACCAGGTAGCCCAAACACTACACCAGGTAGCCCAAACACTACTCAGGTAGCCCAAACACTACCCAGGTAGCCCAAACACTACCCAGGTAGCCCAAACACTACCCAGGTAGCCCAAACACTACCCAGGTAGCCCAAACACTACCCTGGTAGCCCAAACACTACCCAGGTAGCTCAAACACTACCCAGGTAGCCCAAACACTACACCAGGTAGCCCAAACACTACCCAGGTAGCCCAAACACCACCCAGGTAGCCCAAACACTAAACCAGATAGCCCAAACACTACTATGGTAGCCCAAACACTACCATGGTAGCCCAAACACTATCCAGGTAGCCCAAACACTACCATGGTAGCCCAAACACTACCCAAGTAGCCCAAACACTACCATGGTAGCCCAAACACTACCATGATAGCCCAAACACTACCATGGTAGCCCAAACACTACCATGGTAGCCCAAACACTACCATGGTAGCCCAAACCCTATCCAGGTAGCCCAAACACTGCCCAGGTAGCCCAAACACTACCATGGTAGCCCAAACACTGCCCAGGTAGCCCAAACACTACCATGGTAGCCCAAACACTACCCAGGTAGCCCAAACACTACCCAGGTAGCCCAAACACTACCATGGTAGCCCAAACACTACCATGGTAGCCCAAACACTACACCAGGTAGCCCAAACACTACCCAGGTAGCCCAAACACTACCATGGTAGCCCAAACACTACACCAGGTAGCCCAAACACTACCATGGTAGCCCAAACACTACCCTGGTAGCCCAAACACTACCATGGTAGCCCAAACACTACCCAGGTAGCCCAAACACTACCATGGTAGCCCAAACACTACACCAGGTAGCCCAAACACTACCATGGTAGCCCAAACACTACCCAGGTAGCCCAAACACTACCATGGTAGCCCAAACACTACCCTGGTAGCCCAAACACTACCAGGTAGCCTAAACACTACACCAGGTAGCCCAAACACTACCATGGTAGCCCAAACACTACACCAGGTAGCCCAAACACTACCATGGTAGCCCAAACATTGCCCAGGTAGCCCAAACACTACCCTGGTAGCCCAAACACTACCATGGTAGCCCAAACACTGCCCAGGTAGCCTAAACACTACCATGGTAGCCCAAACACTACCTAGGTAGCCCAAACACTATCATGGTAGCCCAAACACTACTCAGGTAGCCCAAACACTATCATGGTAGCCCAAACACTACCATGGTAGCCCAAACACTACCATGGTAGCCCAAACACTACCATGGTAGCCCAAACACTGCCCAGGTAGCCCAAACACTACCATGGCAGCCCAAACACCTCCATGGTAGCCCAAACACTACCATGGTAGCCCAAACACTACCATGGTAGCCCAAACACTGCCCAGGTAGCCTAAACACTGCCCAGGTTGCCCAAACACTACCATGGTAGCCCAAACACTACCATGGTAGCCCAAACACTACCATGGTAGCCCAAACACTACACCAGGTAGCCCAAACACTACCATGGTAGCCCAAACACTACCATGGTAGCCCAAACACTACCATGGTAGCCCAAACACTACCATGGTAGCCCAAACACTACCCAGGTAGCCCAAACACTACCCAGGTAGCCCAAACACTACCATGGTAGCCCAAACACTACCATGGTAGCCCAAACACTACCATGGTAGCCCAAACACTACCATGGTAGCCCAAACACTACCCAGGTAGCCCAAACACTACCCAGGTAGCCCAAACACTATCCCATGATAGCCCAAACACTACCCAGGTAGCCCAAACACTACCATGGTAGCCCAAACACTACCCAGGTAGCCCAAACACTACCATGGTAGCCCAAACACTACCATGGTAGCCCAAACACTACCATGGTAGCCCAAACACTATCCAGATAGCCTAAACACTACCATGGTAGCCCAAACACTACCCAGTTAGCCCAAACACTACCCAGGTAGCCCAAACACTACCATGGTAGCCCAAACACTACCATGGTAGCCCAAACACTACCATGGTAGCCCAAACACTGCCCAGGTAGCCTAAACACTACCATGGTAGCCCAAACACTACCATGGTAGCCCAAACACTACCATGGTAGCCCAAACACTACCCAGGTAGCCCAAACACTACCATGGTAGCCCAAACACTACCATGGTAGCCCAAGCACTACCCAGGTAGCCCAAACACTACCCAGGTAGCCCAAACACTACACCAGGTAGCCCAAACACTACACCAGGTAGCCCAAACACTACTCAGGTAGCCCAAACACTACCCAGGTAGCCCAAACACTACCATGGTAGCCCAAACACTACCATGGTAGCCCAAACACTACCCAGGTAGCCCAAACACTACCCAGGTAACCCAAACACTACCCAGGTAGCCCAAACACTACCCAGGTAGCCCAAACACTACCCAGGTAGCCTAAACACTACCCAGGTAGCCCTAACACTACCCAGGTAGGTCTAACACTACCCAGGTAGCCCAAACACAACCCAGGTAGCCCAAACACTACCATGGTAGCCCAAACACTACCCAGGTAACCAAACACTACCCAGGTAGCCCAAACACTACCCAGGTAGCCCAAACACTACCCAGATAGCCCAAACACAACCCAGGTAGCCCAAACACTACCATGGTAGCCCAAACACTACCCAGGTAACCAAACACTACCCAGGTAGCCCAAACACTACCCAGGTAGCCCAAACACTACCCAGATAGCCCAAACACAACCCAGGTAGCCCAAACACTATCATGGGTACCCAAACACTACCCAGGTAGCCCAAACACTACCCAGGTAGCCCAAACACTACCCAGGTAGCCCAAACACTACCCAGGTAGCCCAAACACTACCATGGGTAACCAAACACTACCCAGGTAACCCAAACACTACCCAGATAGCCCAAACACAACCCAGGTAGCCCAAACACTACCATGGTAGCCCAAACACTACCATGGTAGCCCAAACACTACCATGGTAGCCCGTACTCTCACAATTAATGCTGGTAGCGTCTCCAACAATTACACCGTCCCGGGGACTATTTAGCAGGCAACGTGGTCCTCCTCGCTCGCAGTAACGATGTTTCTGCATTTTTCTTAGATACTAATTAATAATACGTGTCCCTGTGTGTGTACACGTGTCCCTGTGTGTGTACACGTGTCCCTGTGTGTGTACACGTGTCCCTGTGTGTGTACACGTGTCCCTGTGTCTGTACACGTGTCCCTGTGTCAGGGCGCCGACGTGTCCGTGAGGGAAGGGAACTATCAGGGGAGATCGAGCTCCGAGCCATTACATTTATATAGCACTTGGAAAGGGATCGGGATAAGGATTTGGGATGGGACAGGTGGAAAGGAATGGTGCTCAACTACTTGGATGGTTGGGGATTGAACGACGACCGGCATGAAGCCAGACCGTCGTTCTACCGTGCTGCCCAAATGGTTGTGGTAAAGTATGTGTGGGCGCCGACGTGTCTGGTTCCTGACTACTGATCAGTTTCGTTTCAAGTGACTACAACTACCTTATTTGTGGCTTAGTTTGGCCACTTTTGTCGTTCTCAGATGGTTTCTCTGCTTCTCTTCTGCCTCTGACATATTTACTGCACGCTATGTGTTTCTTTTAGGGCAGTCTACCCTCGAACGTTATGCTAACGTTTTTTGTGTTTCTTAAACTCCGTGCTTTCTCTCTCAACGGACCAGGAACTATAGAACCGTATTTTGCTTCGGGGCCTCTTTATAATTTATGTGAATTAATCTTTGGCGTGTGGGCATTACAGTTCTAAATCTAGACCGACAAAACTCCTCAAGAATAGAAGGCGGGGTGGGGGTAAACCTATGACATGCCGCCGGTTTCCTGCCCCCTACTAGGTCACCAGGTAGACCTAGTGACCAAGTAGGTTCACTACTCTGACCCAGCTAAGTGAGAAAAGTGGCCCTCAGGAAAATTCACGTAAATTTCCTGCTTTGTCCCCTCAGCTTAATCTCCCAAGTCACACTGTCTCTCAGCTTAATCTCCCAAGCCACACTGTCTCTCAGCTTAATCTCCCAAGCCACACTGTCTCTCAGCTTAATCTCCCAAGTCACACTGCCTCTCAGTTTAATCTCCCAAGTCACACTGCCTCTCAGCTTAATCTCCCAAAGTACACTGTCTCTCAGCTTAATCTCCCTAGTCACACTGCCTCTCAGCTTAATCTCCCAAAGTACACTGTCTCTCAGCTTAATCTCCCTAGTCACACTGTCTCTCAGCTTAATCTCCCAAGTCACACTGTCTCTCAGCTTAATCTCCCAAGTCACACTGCCTCTCAGCTTAATCTCCCAAGTCACACTGTCTCTCAGCTTAATCTCCCAAGTCACACTGTCCCTCAGCTTAATCTGTCAAAGTAGATTACGTAAAGACTCACAAACGCTCTCGTCCAGTTTGCAGATCCCCTGAGCCCTCTCTCAGGTCCTCTTGATGGATGTCAACACGACGTGATTAAGACCCAAGGCACGGAGGACACCA